TCTCCCAGGTTCAGAGCAGCATGCCAGGCTTGACTCTGTCCTCACCAGAAGTTCCCACTACTGTTGGAGGATTTTAACATCAACAAACTGTTATAAATGACAATTCTCAGGCCTGACAGACTTTCCCAGAACAACTAACATTGCTACATGCTGCTGGTCCAAATGCTGTAAAATGGCAATGAAATGGAGAAGGTTATGAGTAAAAGGATGTTTTCTTAGTCTGGATATGGTGCAATGGTTAAGCTCCACCTCCTCCAAGTCTGAATCCACATTGGCTGAGGCTCAGATCCCACCAGAACCTCCTAACCTGTATCTTGGCAGTTTCCTTCTCAGCTTTCCTACTAACCACGAAAGACAAAACAAAAAATAATACTGCTGTCTCCCTCAAAAAATGTTTTCACTATCTTTGAATGCACCGTAACAATTATACTTCTGTAAAGAAAATGAACAAATAACAATACTGAAGGGTTTTGTCTCATCCATGTCAACATACAATGTGCTATCTGCCAGTGGGACATTAGCACAGCTCCTCATGATAAACCTCTGGGAATAAAGGCATGCTATGAACTGTACTCCTACAGTAAAAATGCATCCTGGGATGGAAGTATTTATTTATGAGCGTGGGCTTCAGGGGGCTGTTTGGTGATTACACTGGGGGTTTCTGCAGCTCTTCACACATTGAAACGTTGCAATATTCATTGGCAAACGGCCAGTGAAGTTATCATGACCTGGTCAGCTGTGACACACCAGCTCATCTGGAAATGCAATATAGGCCTAACTTACAGACGCAACATCATCCCAATGACAAAGAATTTATAGTGGAAGTGACCTCAAGACACGATGCTGTGTCTGGAAATGACATTATTGAGATCTTCCAAACATCTCTCAGACAAAAAATCATATAAGATGATGATTAAATACGGTTTTGAAATTAGGTTTAGATTTGGATATAATGAGAGTATGGCATGTAAATATGCCCTCTTACATTCATATGAAGTTCACATTGTGGTTGCCACGGCTACCAGCATCTGCCTCCCACATGCTGAGATGCTGTGGATCTTTAACCAGTTTTAATGAGCGGGGGCAGGCGACACTGCTTTTACTTCAGTCAGCACTTCAAACACATCTGTATCTGCAGAAGCCACGCTGCCTTCAAGTTCACATGTGACATTCTCACTAATAAACTGACTGCACTGACTGTCCCTGATTTACTGTTACATCCGGTATGAAACCATTAAATACAACATTTTAGAGACAATTCTTCTTTTTGAGGATCACACTGGATGTGATTAAGGTCACATTCATCATTGGTACAGACCTTCTGAATCTATAATGCCAACATTCATACTCGGGGTTTAAACAGATTAAAGGGTGGTCTATTTTTTTAAATATTGCCAAAAACAAAAATACTACAGGAAATATGGCAGGAACGGGTTAACCAGTGACAAAGTCGTTACTACCTACAGTAGCAACAGAGCGTTGCTTCCAAGGCCAAGCACCTCATTAAATACATTCGTTTATGGGGCTACAGGTTACTTTAAAGGAAAGCCCACTCACAACTACCACATTCAAGATTTCCCATCTGTGTGGAAGCCATTCCTGGATGATATTAGAATAAGATAACTTAGTCTAACTTAATCTTATCTTTCCTTGTAATACTTTACTTATTTCTACACTGCTAGATATAAGAACAATACTGTTTCTTTATTTTCATGTCTTCTACATTAATCATCAACAGGTGAGGGTGCTGACACGCAGCTTCTGGTGGGAGGCTTTTACCAAAATATTATGTATGTATCCATCAAGTGCATATGTTGATGGACGCATGGATTTTGAAATAACCCAACTAGTAATAGTAAAGCTTTTCGCACACTTAGATTAGTGCAATATGGGGGTATGCTCTGATGAAGCTTTAGCTTTGCTAAATAAAGTGAATATTGCATAAAATCTTTACTATTAGTTTGGACAGGCTTCCAGCACCTTAGCAAAGATTTAGCCAGGTGGAGCGGTTGTCATTCTGCATAAAAACAAGTCAACCAGAGACAGTATTGTCAGACCCATCACAGAGCATAAGTTAATTTAATCAGTTACAGCTTATCAAATCTGCTAGTGACAGTGTTAACCTGTCATCGAGCACTAACTATTTTAACTATTAACTATTTTCAAGAAGTGCAACCGTTACCATTACAGCACTAAAATATGATCATCAATATAAACAACTGTTTGTTGTTGCTGTAACGCTTTCATCAAAAAGAAGAAGAAGTCTGACAAACTTGATTACGCATTTTGCCCAATAAATAAAAAATATATCAAAATAATTATGCAGATACAGCCTTTTAATGCAGGTGGCTCCAAGAGGAATCAAACTTACTATATGGAAGATATGACTTCATCAATAGCACAAAAGTTGCAGATTTATTCAATTTGTTCCTTTCCCTCAGATTTCACTTCTGGCTCTGGTATAATGGGAACACTAACTAGAAGACTAACCGTGGTTTGTAACCACAAATAGAAACACAAGATCTGGTGTTTTGGATAGTAATCACTCAGCTTTCCACTCTCCACAACATAGCATTTCATAAAATCATAGCAACGTGCGTCAAACCAAAATGGGAACGCAGACAAGCTGGGATTATTTACTGTAACACAGGACGAGATGAGCCGAGGAAAAAACAAGTGGCAGTTGTGGTTCCAACTAATTTATAAATTGCATTAAAGTTCTGTTTGTGCCTGTAAATTAACAAGTTACCCATATGTATTTTTGTGTTGTATGAATCATTTTGCGGAACTAAAAATACAAAAATTCACTCTGGTAATCTGGTTATCATATCTACAGGATCTTTGTAGCCAAGTGGTGAAAAGAGATGTAGGCATGAGTGGCAGGACCTTTGATCCCCACAGTAAAACTAGGCCTCATCCACACCACAAACTGCCCTCACAACCCGGGGCGGCGGGCAGAGTGTCTTTGTTAAAGGCTCCCATGCTTGTAAAACACTCAGAAATAGCATTGAGCATGGTGAATATACAGCCTTAAAAAACGCATAAGGTTTCTGATGACATCACTACTCTGATTTGGGAACAGAATGACAGAATGGTCTCTACACGGCAAAGTAAGGGGTTTCATTCCCACTGCAACATGCAAGAAAGACATAAATTAAAGACATGATAAAAGGAAAATTTTTACCCTGACCCTCTTTAAACAGCTCCAAAATCATGTATTGGCTGATTGTATCAAGTAGCAGAAGAGTTTGAAATGATGACATTCAAAAGTCCATTAATGACGCATCACTTCTGTTTGGGGTCTCAGAGACGAGCAGTAAAACACAGTTAGATACTGCGGATGTTTGTATGATCTGTATCTGTTTGATAGATTTTGATTATTTTTTTGCAGCTCTACCCCTCAAATCCCAAATGAGCCTATTTATATTCATGTTATTGGAGACATTTCTGTTACAGAGATCTAATAATGATGTCTAATTGACCCAAAACATAAGGACTCACTCTGTAGGATGACATACTGTACATTTTTGTCTGTGATTTTTTGGCAAACACAATAAATATAATATTTCTTCATGCGTATATAAAACATGAAATATTTCCTGAGAGTAAAACTTTTTTTGCTGGTTTCATTCTTTCTTCTTCTGTCATTTTCATCAAATGTGTTTCAGTTATTTGGTTTCAATAAGGTCAGAAGAAAAGACTAAATATACCTCAATGCAAAAAATAATAATTAAACATACATTATTAGGTATTGTTGTCATTTTTACATATCCAGCAGTTCAATTCAATTCAATTCAATTCAATTCAATTTTATTTGTATAGCGCCAACAGAAGTTATCTCAGG